AGAGAGAGAGAGAGAGAGAGAGAGAGAGAGAGAGCATAATATATCATATATGTTAATTACTAACCCATATGTTTTAATACAGGCGGCTACCGATACGGCGAAGAAAGGGCAACACAAACACCCCTACAACTGGCCGCCAGCTCCGGCCGAGTGGACATTATCCGACTATTACTGTCGTACGGCGCCGACCCCTACCTCAACACCGCACTCATGGATTACTCGGGCGCCCACTGTTCCGCCTCCCGGGGCTGTCCGTCAGCCATAGCTGTGGCCGCAATGCACGGCCAACAACTGGCACTACGAGCCCTTCTGGCTCAGCCCACCTACGGTTGCCATAACAACAGCAATGGTTCCGCGGGTCGGGATGTGCTGTCATTGGAGGAGATGTTGGCCGAGACTCGCACCGGAAGTGTGGACACCCGGCGACGACCGCGCATACAAGTAGTGGCAGCCAATCAAAGCCAGTGTAGCGTTAATATGGATTTAAGCGCCTGTTCTGTGACTTCTGGCTCCGGGGGCTCTCATGAGGGTAATAGTAGTAATGGTAGTAATGGTAGCGCTGGTGGTAGTAAAGTGATCCAATTGACCAAGTCTAAGCTCAGGGCACTTCAGGAGGCAATGTATCACTCGGCAGAAACCGGCTGTTTGGAGATTACTCTGGATTTGAGAAATATTGGTGAGTGTATTGCTATAAATTTATATTAATAATTAATAGTAATGCAATTATTTACATTTATTTTATGAGTGTGACTTTTATTTTGCGTAGAGACTGTAAAATAAAATACAATGCAATTAATAAATAGTAGGATATAATAGCTTATTTGTTTTATGGAGAAGCCATTAGAAAGTATGTATTTTAAAAGATCTAAACTACTCTAGATTAATTGTAATGTCATGATTCACATTTATTTTATATTGTTTAGTGTGCTTTGTATTTAGCGTAGACTGTAAAATAAATTTTAATGCAATTAATAAATAATAGGATAAATTAGTTAATTTGTTTTATGGAGAGGCAAAACCTGTTTCTATTAATAATAGTGTCTAATAATAGATTGAGCTGTTATTAATTAATAATAACTTATTATGTTTATTTAACATAAATTAAATATTATCAAGATAATTTATAATAATATTCGTTAGTAAAATGTTTTATTTGTTGCATTATTAGTAGTTAATAATTACACAATTTTATTTAGTTATTTATTGTTTATTTTACTCGTGTTAACATAATTAAATATAATCTGTTATAACAATAATTATTAATTAATAATTTTAACAAATTTACAATGTTTATAGGCATCCCATGGACAATGCATACATGGATGGCAACAGTAGGCACAGCACACGGCATGCGTTTGGACGCAATTACCGATCAATTATTACAAGACTTTTCCCACCTCTGGTCCGACGACTGTACCGTACAATTCATCGACGAGTGTCTGCCCTTATTGTTCACAATATTCCGACACCAAAAGGTAGTTCATTATATCCGGGTTTGACTGTATTGTGCAAAAAATATTAACATTTTGTTTGACCATGAAATTAATCTCACAGCACAACTCTGGCACCACAACCCTATTATTGGCCGATATTATGAGCACGTGTTACGGCCGTAACGAGACATTCCGGAGCCGTCCGTTAAGCGCCAGTTATGGGCCGGACGTTAGGGTCGGCGCCCGTATTGACGCCAAATACGTTAATAATAAGGATATGTCTGACTGTGTGTTCAAAGTGGAGAATCGGCTATTTTACGCACACAAAATCATCCTGGTCAACGCCAGCAAACGCTTTCATAATATGCTATCCTTGTGTGGGTCAGCACCGGGTGGTGTCGATGGACTGACCAGTGGTGTGAATGCCGGGTCCCAACAGTCTGTGCACAATAGCCCCACGCATTCGGCGATTGTTATTAACGATATCCGTTTTGATATATTTCAGGTCATTATTTTTGCTAAGAACTTTTTATTAAAAATAGACTGTATATTAATATATAATTAATTACTTAAATAATAAAAGTGAATTAGGGCACACACTAATCTGACATGTGCCCGGCTTGTCCGGGCAAACGTTGACGTGTGCCCGGCTTGCCCGGGCAGACGTTTGACGTGCCCGCCTTGCCCGGGCTTACTTTTGATATGTGCCCGGCATATCCAGACAAACAGTATTAACCAAAATAAATGGAAACGGCATACAGGAGCCAATTTATAATGATGAAATTTACACAATTAAATATATGTAAAAAATTAAATAGTTAAATAATTTCAAAAAAATTATAGTTTATTATAATTATTTATAAAATACAGTTTTCCCGGATATTAAGTGACCGTTATACTTGGTTTATACATTTATCTTAGATATGCCGTGCCCTTTATAGTTAACTAATACAGTTATCCCGGATATTCCAAGCTTATTATATTTTGTTAATACAGTTGGCCAGGATATAACAAGCCCATTATATTTGGTTAATACAGTTGGCCTGGATATACTAAGCTCATTATATTTAATTAATACAGTTGGCCCGGATATGCCAAGCCCGTTATATTTTGTTAATACTGTTTGTCTGGATATGCCGGGCACATGTCAAAAGTATGCTCGGGCAAGGCGGGCACAAATGAATAGTATGCCCGGGCAAGGCGGGCACGTCAAACGTCTGCCCGGGTAAGCCGGGCAAAA